TGATTTTACTACTTCATTATGAGATTCTTTCCAAAACCATCACAATACTTATGACATAATTGACATTATTATATAATAATCTTAGTAATATATGAAAGAAGAATTTTTACACTAAAAATAAAACAATGTTAAATGAAAAAGAAAGGATTTTGTATTCTTGTTACACTACTTTTATTTTAATCATCAACTGTTATAAAATAAGACTTTTTTTTTTTACTCTTTTATCATATTTTGAGTGCAATACAGCCTGGTGTTTATGAAGCTAAAAACACGGAATATATTACATCATTGATTACAACCATCACAATACAATTTTTTTTTTTAAAGTTGTACTATATCTCAATGTTATACATATATTTCACTAAAATATTTAATTTTTCACAATAGTAAAGAATAGGCATGTTTAGTTATTGCATGTTTCTTTTCAAAATGTCTGGGGAAAGATGCTTTGATGTAACATTAATGTTATCAAAACATGATAGATATTGTGTATTCCCTTTATTAATTTGTTTTTTCTTTTTTTTTTTTTTTTAATTAATTTCAGTGAATTTCCTGTCTTTGAACCATAGGATGTTAAATTATGCTGATTCCCAATGAACAAATATCAAATATTGTTTGTAAACAATTGTTATCAACACCTGGCTACTTTGTGTCTAATTATCTATTGTGCTGAGTGTATTTGCAATCTTGTCATTTCAAATGTTTTAAGCTGAGCAAAGATTTTTGAAAATGTGTACTTGTGTATAATATGATCCCAAGCATGAAAACATTGTAAATTATAAACTTGGTCAGAAACACCCAAACTGCTAACACAAATGCAGAGAAATGAGGTATTTATAGTGGTACAAAGTTCACCAGACAAAATATAACAGTTTTAACACCACTAAAAAGAAATGTGTACTTCAATAGAAAAGCCTTAAAAGAAAAGTCAAAATTAATTGCTATCTTTATGTCTCACTAAATTGTTTTTATCTTTATTTTTATAAAGAAAAACAATCACTCACAAAGGCTTCTGTTGTAATAATTACCATGAAAGCCTTGCTGTCTATTGAACGAACAGTCATGTGATGTCTCAGGCAGACAATAGATTTGGGAGGGAGGTAGGGTGTAGATCATTCAGTACTTCATAAAAAGTACTTATTAAATATAACAGTGGAATGAAAATAAAATGGTTTGTGGTTCAATTCTTAATAGTGTGCTAACTACCATTCTCTGATCAAATAAACTGAAGTTTTAGCTTCTGTCTGAACTTTTGGAATGAGGAGTTATTCTTATTTACATTCAGACTAATGTCCTCATCTTTGTTGTTATTATCACAACAAAAACAGGGCAAGCAATAACTGAGCAGTACTAAATAAAAAGAAATCAAGAGAGACAGCAGAATGAGAACAATATACCCCCTGTAGATTAAATAAACAGTTCAGTTTGAAATTCCCTGAAGGTTACCTGGATTGACAGATACCTGAAGAAGGCCAAAGGGCACAATAGCCGAAATGTTGTGATTATAACAACAAACATGAAGACAGGAGTCTGAATGTAAATAATGTTTTTCTAGAATTTAGCAATAGGTGATGTATGAATACAGTTGTCAATAAACTCAAGTATAACAGGCACTAAAAGGTCCTCAGTAGTGGTGACACCAAGCTGTTAAAATCCCTTCAACATACATTATGACAATGGTGACAAATATGAAATACTGGAAGGCAGCTTATTAAAAAAATGGAAAATGAAAAACTGGAAAACAAACTTTAAAATAAAATTATGTTCTGTCATAATCAAAAAAAGTGTTATATTGGATAACACATTGTTTATAGATTGAGGGATGACAAATCTATACAATTAGTATGGATTTGTTTTTAAATGTTAATGGACTTTGTCTGATGAAGTGAAATTTGTAATGAATGCTTGCTATTCAACATCAAGATTTACATCCAAATGAATCCTTAAACATAAATCAATCTGAATTAGAATCTTGACATAATCTTCATGTGACAAACAATTATGTAATATTTTGTAAATTTAAAACCAAAAGGAACATGATCAAGGCCAGTGTGTACTACTGAGACTACCAAAAGGTGATCTCAATACTACCCCCGCTCATCCCTCAATTGATTAGGGGTCCTGGGCAGTGTTTTCTGTCTTATCAACATTAGCTTTTTTTGTTTCTACATACATTTATATATGTTACAAATTAAACTAAGCACAACTGACTTTTAAAAGGTTGAAAAAGTTTTTTGCATATTTTGAGGTTATTCTGAGGTCTTTATTTTTTGCCAAATCTGAATTTCTTTTGCTTATGTTAAGTCTTAAAAAAAAAAAACTATATAAAAATATTCACTATTTTTTATCCATAATGCTGAATGTGTTAAAATTATTTAACTTTTACCACGAAAAATTTCATGATTATGTTAAAAATTACTACAAAACATTGATTTATTTAAGATGGAATGATTTATTATAAAATGTCTCTAATTTGACTTTAGATACATTGAATTTATTTTAAATTTTTCTAGTTGAATTGTTCCCCTATATTGCATATGATCCATTATTGTACATAACTAGGTTACAATGAAATTTATATTTTATATGAATACCACCTGATGAAAATTGAGATGTACGAGAGTGGAGTGGGAGCATAAAAAAATTTGGGGGTAGGGCATGAGACCCTTGCACCTGCCCTACACATGATTAATAATGATAGGAAAATGATAGAAAACAAGTCTATGAAGCAAAACATTTGTTGTTTTCATGACTAAATCAAAGAATATCACCTAAGTCTTTGGACTTATCCAGTTTAATATTAAGAGTTTAATATCAGTGATCAAACAACTTCCCAAAGATCATTATGAAAATATTGTTTGCATATATTCTATTACAATATTATAGCAGAAAATAAGTTCAATTTTTTCTCTTTATTTCTAGAGGAAAATTAGCAGTAGAAAATATTACAAGAATAAAGATGCAGACAGATCTTTGACTAACAAAAGAAAAAAAATCCAGTCAAACAGTAAGTTTATAATTATACTGATTTCAATAAATTTTATATCCATGCAGATTTCATTGTAGATGTAAAATTTATTTCCATTTCTAATAAATAGCAAAAAGATAACAGAGTTAATGAAAAATTACATTTTATTACAAACAAAACACTTCTCTTGCCTCTTATAAATCTAAACAGATCGTTTTTTCTGATTTTTCACCCAATACAAGGCCCAAGAGCCACTCGAGGTAGAGAGTTACTAAACAAGATTGTTATATGAACATAAGAGGAAGAGATAAGTGCATAATATTAGGATACATAGAAAAGATAACAGTTAATCATAGTTAAGATTATAGCAATCAGGGAAATATCCACTCGGGAGTCTCTTCCACAAAGTAATGATTTCTGGTGAAATTAAGGAATGTAGCTTGTCAAAACATTTACCATGGAAATAGTGAGCTATTTACAACATTTCGTATGTAGTAAAGGCACTGTCAAGTGACAAATAATTCATCACCCACAAGGCCGCATAGATGCTTTTGAACTCTATCAATTCTGGAAAGTTAGGACTGGGCAACTCCAGCCCAGATATGGCAGCAATACTCCATTTCTGGTCTGATGTAGCTCTTGTAAAAATGGTGCATATCAGGAAGAGTTATGTACTTTCTGAAGCAGTACAAGGAACCAATCATTTTAACAGCATATTTAGTAATGGACCACATATGTGCACTCCACTTGTGGTCTGTGGTTCCAATAGATGTTCAAAAGAAGGAGCCTTTTTGATTGTACAACCATTCATCCTGAGAAACAAAAATTTATGGTCTCATGATGAACAGTTACTAGTTTGATTTTTAGAAATAGTGAGTATTACAAGTCAATTTTCCCTTTGGACTGTTAGAACCAGGTCATAAGAGAGATCAACTGCTAAGATCTTGTCATCTACATAAATGTAGAAGTGTACAAGTGCATTTCCCTAAAGGGAAATGCACTTGTACACTATTGTATCATTTGCATAGATGGACGTATTCTTTTTCTATAGCTTCATAGGTTTACATAATGCATAGGTGAAATGGTGCTGAAATTATCGTTTCATTCAAAATTCAATTGATATCTTTTAAAAAATCTTCACACAAAGATAACAGTTAATATAATTCTTAATGACTGCTACACTGTAGAAAATTTAAATTATATTCACATCTCTTGCAGAAGAATAGCAAGGGGAATAATTCGTGATAATCTTGTGGTTTCGAGGTTATAAATATTCTGAAATAAAGAGTTGCTTCCCTTAACCAGATTCGGCACAAAGACAAATTTACGCAAAATCAATGTCCAGATGGTCAGGTAGAATTAATTAAAAATAAAATTAAACCGTTTTAAATTAAAATATTAACTCAGAAGTTATTATCAACAAAATGAAAAGAATGAAATTCACGCAGTTAGTAAGATTCATGCAAGAAATTCACGGAAATAAGTACAAAAGAAATGAAAATTCTTTTTTAAATTCATACCCTCAAAAAGTCAGTTATTTTGGTCAGTGTTCTGTCTTTATTTCAATAAATTAATTTTAGTTCCATCATGTTTAAGATGTTAGAAGTTTTAATGAATCAAAAACATTTTCAAGCTGAAACAGAACAGAAACATTGTTTCAGATTTTAACTTGTTTCAAACTGGAACCAGACTATCTTGACTTATGTAGTGCTTCTCAAAAGCATTATTTAAAATTAATAATGTATAATGATATTTAAGTACAAAAATGACTAACAATAGAAAAAACAAAATGTTTAGAATTAGAAGATGCTACAGCTCAATAATCAGATATAGAACCCAACAGATGTAAAATAATCATGTGATATTTATGTATTGTTTTTCATACGAGTTCCTTTTTTATGTTCATTATTCATTTATTTTCATTGTTTAATTAAAATAAATGAACCAGACAATCACTCAACAAATGAAAAAAAGCAAAACAAAAAAAAAAAAACCAAGAATACAAACAAATGAAACAAGTAACAAGACTGACCTGTCCACTGTAATCTTTACTATAAAATCGACGTTCAATGACCTAGATTGAAATTGAAAAAGAAATACAAAGATTAATCATATTTGTCATTCAGTTTCTCAAATAATGTTAAAAATAAAATCTAACTTGTTTTTATCAACTTTTGCTGAAAATATTAACCCACAATTTTTTTTTTTTAAATTATATGTGTCCAGAGAAAATTTGTTGATGTCTATCTACATAAAATTTTAATTGATTTCTAATCAAATCCACCATATTTCCCAGTTTGTAGAAAATTCTCCTTAATTGATTTCTGCTCAGGAATAAGATTCGTACTTGTTCATCTCCTCCATCAAAAGAACCAATTGTAACATTATTTCAGACAATTCAGGATTTCAAAGAGAATAGCTCAATCAGTTTTTTATTTTAATCTCAATTTAAGACATTAGCTAGATGAAGATACCATTGTCACTAACCATTATGTGTGATGTATTTCTGACATGCCCTGTATAACATATACCCTGAATGCTCAAATTTTAGATCAAAAATTGCAATTGGTTAAATCATGTCTTACTCTGGTGATTTTCATTCATAATCCTGTAAATGACTTACTTGAACCAAGACGAACACCCACCATGAGTGGATTATTACAACTTTTTCTGAAGAGGAGGAGCAAAATATGTATTTTCTAGCATTTTGGTATGCCTCTGAATTTAACATTTTGACTAAGTTTTCAAGTAGAACGTAAATATGTATAAAAAGATTAGTTCTTGAATTAAGATTTTTTCTATTGGAGCTATTAAGTGAACATCTTAGAATCTGCTTCACTATTTCTTATATCACAATATATGTAAGTGTTTGAGAGAAGTAGTTTTGACATATCTATTAAACAAATCCTCTCCATAATATCACAGGTTATATAAGCATAAAATTTGAAAATAATCAGCCATAGCTGGAAGTGATTAAAAGATCATTCTACCAAATTCTACTAAAAATCAATAAATCAATAAAAATTAATCAATTTTTTTTTTTTACAATGATGTTCGCCCTGTACAAGCCCTGAGAGCCACTCGAAGTAGAGGGTTACAAAGCACTGCTTATGCAGATATGTGGGGAAAATAACCCTAGACTTGAACAGGTTAAGATTGTAGTGATCCTTGATCACTACAATCTTAACCTGTTCGAGTTGGTTCCAAAAAGCAGCAATTTGTGGGAAGAAGTTACTTGAGTGGAACTTACATCTCACCAGTGGAATACGAAGGGAGTGAGGATGGTTCACTACAATGTACATAGGTTAGAACTAGTGGAACTAAGGAATGTAGTTTGTCAGAACTCTTTCCATGGAAATAGCGATAGAGCAGTGAGACATTTGCAACATTTTGTCTGTGAGGAAAGGTGTTGTAGGGTGGAAAATAATTCATCACCCACAAGGACATAGCCATTAATAACATTTTCTAAATTGAGTATTTTTTTTTTCTTTTTGCAGACCTTTACTCTAAAGCTTATTTCTGGTACAATAGAAGTCGATAGGTTCAGCTATCATCCAGTTCATACTCCCCACCAATCATTTGAACATGTTTATAGTTTTATCTCGTTTCCTGTTTAGGATTGGGTTTCCAGTTCCATCTAAATTCTACTTCAACTCTATACTTCTAATGACTCTGCTTAAACTCTGAAATTTTATTCACTATTTATTTATTTTTCCTCAATCAGAGTAGATAGGTTCACCTATCATTCAGTTCACACTTGTCTCCAGTCTTTTGAACAGGAGTAGAGGTTTATCCCTTGTTTCCTGTTTAGAATTGGGTTTCTGGTTCCTTATAAATCCTACTTCAACTCTATACTTCTGTCTCTGCCTAAACTTTGAAATTTATACTATTATTGGGTTTTCAGTTCCTCCTGAAGTCTTTTCCTTCTCTTTCACTCCCAGTAGACCCTTGCATCTTAGTGGTGTTAATTTCCTTGCTTAGGGTGAATTGATAAAGAAAAAACAAAAAACATACACATGTGTAAATCTAGCTATGACATTCTTATCACCATCATAATAATAATAATAAGTGGGGAGCTGAAAATGTTTTAGCCCAACTGCCTTACCAAAATCTTATTTAATACACTATTACAGAACCTCCAGTAGTCATGAGAGCCAAAGTTGTTAGAGGATATACAGTACCTCATTCTATCAGGAAACAAATACTTAGCTCTTTCAAGGACATATTTACATTTATTGCATGCAGGTGTCTATTGAGATTGGAGCTGTCATACTGGTATAGCCAGAAAAACTGATTCCTGTGGGCTATAGTGGCTGAACAGGCTGATGTGAACCATTTTGATTTCATCTGGTATTTCAGAGAATGAACTCTTTGCTATGGTACCTTGACTTTATGAATTTAAATGCAGTACTAGATTTGGTGGCTAGGTCTCATCAATTCACAGTTGAATTGTCTAGATGTAACCATAAGTTTCTTTTCTTGCACTTCTCACTTGGGGAAATCACTTCCAGCTTCATGCTTTTCAGCTAACTTTGATCTTCAGAAATTTAAATGCAATGTCAATTGTTATCTACTGTGTTCTTGATTACTCTTCTATTGTTCTCACTCCTTAATGTTTTTCATTCACATTCAGTAGCACCTTCAGTCTTAGGCTTTACTGCTTTGCATGGGGTGATATGATGTTAAAAAAAATGCCCAAACATCAATTTTTATTCTTTAAGAAATTCTCCTTGCTTAGGCAAAGAACATTTCATCACTCCACTTGTATATTAAAGTGTATCAAAATTATTTTCTTACCAGAAATATCCAAGAAAATTTTGTGGTTTTCTTATTTGAATTTTCTGATGGCAGGTATTAGGCCAGAGTCAGTGTGAGTCTGGGACTGGGAGAGCTATATAACAACAGTTTTTTTTTTATCAGTCGAGAGGAGCACTCTAAACATGTGGAAAACCAAACAAGATGAACACAAGCTATTTTAACAATTGATGGATGGTGACCAAGAGCCAAGGCATTTATGAGAGATGAGGAGATGGAGGATGTCATGGTGGCAGTGGTGGCCCGGTCACTGTAAATGACAAAGTTCTTCAGATGCAATATGTTTACAATATTAACAATGAGGCATGAATTACAACCAATAAACTCAAGATCAACAATAGAATGCATATACTAAACAAGCAGCACGCTTTCATTAAAGTTAAGGACAATTAGAATAATGTCCCCAATAACATGCAGTTCTGATTGCTTAACTCTTTGAAGAACAACATAGGCAAAATCAGCAAGACTACACTAGAAGGCGCCTGCAAACATGCTAGGAATGCTACAGGGATCAAACAATGGAAGAATTCCAAAGATGCCATCAATTGGTTCTCTAAAATAAAAAAGAACACCTAATGCACCTTTATGCAATTTGACATCTCCAATTTCTACCTGTCGATTATAGAGAACCTAGCCAAGAATTATTGCACCATCACTGAACAGGAAATTAACATCATTAAGCAAACCCAGAAACCCATCTTATTTCATGATGGTTCTATGTGGACCAAAAAAGACAACCCAAACGTCTCCATAGTGATGGGAATGTTCAATTCTGCAGAAATTTGTGAATTGGTTAGTATACTACTACTGTAGAGACTTAGGTACACTTTTGATAGCAAGAACACTGGTCTGTACAGAGATGACAGAGTTATCCTCCTTTGTAATACTAACCCACAACAAACAGATTGACTTAAAAAATATCTTATTAAATTCCTCAAGGATCATGGACTAAATATTACCACTAACACCAATACCAAGGTGATTAACTTTCTGAACACTACTTTTGACCAATTCAAGGGAATATACATACCTTTCACAAAAGAACTTTATAATCATAAATACATTAACAAAGAATCTAACCACTGGAAAACCCAGTATTACCATCATAAAATGACTTACCATTAAAAAATATTCAAATGCCACAGCACTCTCCAAATTTTCATGGGAAATTAAGACAGAAAGCTACACCTCTTTAGTAAATTGGAATTTCATCACTACAACTACACCCTTTACCGGCCACAGGGAAAAATTTTACCTTTGTCTATTAGAAAATTAGCCATTCTTAATCACAGTGACAATCTTATGAACAAACAAAATGAACTTATGATAGCATGCATTCATAATAAAAAAAACTTTCTTCCAAAATATTTTGATTCTGATCACTTAACCAAACATCTATTATATTTTTTGTTACACACCGATTATCCCCCTTGCACCATCTCAACATCTATTTGTAGTGTAGGTTTTTATTTTTTTACTTTATTTTTAGCTTATTTTATAATATTAAATGTTAACTCTATATACAGTACAATGTTACTTCCTTGAGACAAAGAGATTACTTGTAAACTACTGTACTGAACAACAATACTACACACGGAAATATATAAGTTTATATCATTTTTTTTCAAATATCTACCTACCAAAACTATATTTTGAATTTATGCCCCACTATTGTATTAAATTTATAATAACCTTGAACTTTGAATCTGCATATAATAAAGTGTTCCTCTCATGAGACCCAGTATTTAAAAAAACAAAAAAACAGCTGTATTAAATGGTTCATTTAACATTTGAGCCTGATGAATTGGGTAATAATGAAACTACACATGTAGGTATATGTGAATTTATTAATATATACTTTATAGCTCTGTTTAACTACATTGAGCACTGTTTACACCTTAAATAAATATTTGCTCATTTCTATATGTACGTTATCACATGCATCTATAGTTGCTAATATTTTGTTATTTAGTTTATGTTCACTTATATACATAAGTCAAGCTGCTACTTTTTTTATTCCTACTTAACAGCCAAAGTACATTTGTGCTCCAAATTCACATACCATATATACTTAATACTTAGTGCAAATTTTGTTGAGTTTTTTATGCAATGGTGAGGAGGACACACTATATACAGGTAGGTTTTTTAAAGAGCTTAAAAATCATGGATTTTCAGTGACCAGTTGCACTATACACAGGCAAATGATAATTGCCTAATGCATGAAACTTTAGCATCATCCTACAGTAAGTAATAAGGATA